CACCCTATGATCTGTATGTCTGTGTTTGCTATGATCTGCCTGAACTGCTCACAAAACAAAACTTTTCACTGTACGTAGGTACACATGACTACAATAAATCAGATCAAATCAAATCAAAGGAACCTGTTTAATCTCGTTATAAACAGATTCTAGCATTTTTCCAGTGACAGATGTTAAGCTAACTGGTCTGTTGTTTCCTGTTTTCTGACTCTCTCCTTTCTTGAACATTTGCTATTTTCCAAGCTGATAGACCCTTTCCAGAGTCTACTTCTTTTAAGACACAAAAATGAAGTGTTTCAGGATCGTAGTAAGACCATAAGATACAGGAGCAGAATTAGGTCATTCTGCTCAGCCATTCAATCATGGTTGATACGTTTCTCAACCCCATTCTCTTGTCTTCTCTCTGTAACCCTTGATCCCCTTACCAATCAAGAACCTACCTACCTTTGTCTTAAATACACTCAATGACTTGGCCTCCACAGTCATCTGTAGCATTAAGATCAGTAGATTAACCCCTTCTGGCTGAAGAAATTCTTCCTTATCTCAGTTCTAAAGGGTTGTCCATCAGGTCCAAGTCTCTCCTACTAGTGTAAACATTTTCTCCACATCCACACTATCCGTACTGGCCTACCAGTATTCTGTAAGTTTCAATCAGATGCCGCCCTCAACCTTCTAAACAGGGTCCAGTTCAGACCCAGAGTGTTCAACTGCTCCTCAGATGACAAGCCCTTCATGCACTTGTAAACCTCCTCTGGACCCCCTCCAATGTCAGCACATCCTTCCTTAAACACAGAACTCAAAACCACTCACAATATTTCAAATGTGGTCTGACCAGAACCTTATGTAGCCTCAGCAATGCATTTCTGCTCTTGTATTCTAGCTCTCTTGAAATGAATTCTAAAATTGCATTTGCCTTCCTAACTGCATGTTAACCTTAACAGAATCCTGAACCAGGACTCCCAAGTTCCTTTGTGCTTCAGATTTCTGAAGTCTTTCCCCTTGTAGAAAATAGTCTCTGACTCTTCTTACCGAAGTGCATACATAACCTCACAGTTTCCCACATTGTATTCCATCTGCGACCATCAGCTAGCAGCAAAACGGCACAATGAACTCTCCTTAACGTGTACAATGAAGGCCATCAGTTTAACTGGAACAAAGTAACCATAGTAGCCCAAGCCAAACATATACACGCACGGGAATTCCTAGAGGTATGATTCTCCACCCATACTTCAATCAACAAACATATAGAATTAGACCCCATATATAAACCCATACAGATCAAAACCGGAAATGACAGTACTCACCATAACGGACCGGACAGTATAAATTCCAAGCGGAGTAGAATAACATTGCTTCATCGGAGGCTCCACTGATGATGTCACCTAGCATGGTGACAAAACTTCTGAACAAAAACAAGCCAGCTCGGTGAACAAGTCAACAACCTCAACCTCTACCTGAGGTTGAATCAGAATATTTGTAATCTTGGCACCCACTAAACTCTGTGCTGAGATATCAAGCCCTCCTTTCCGTCAACTATATTGCCTTTTCCATCTTCAAATCATCATCTGTTTCTTGCCCTGCTGCAGCTAATTTGCTGTTAAAATCTTAATTCATTCCCTGTTACCTGTAAAATTAATTGTTCCAATGATTTTCTGGCTGGACTCCAACATTTCACTCTCTATGAATTTGGACTTATTCAAAACTACCTATGTCCTAAGCTAGTAAGTCTCATTCATCTGTCACCCTTTTCTCACTGACATTTTCTCCTAGTTGACTAATGCATCAGTTTGAAAATTCACATCCTTGTTTTCAGAGCCCTACACAGCTACAGTCCATGACCTACCTGTGTTATTTCCTCCAACCCCTACAACCCTCCGTGATACTTGTGCTGCTCCAATTCAGGCCTCTTGAACACCACCTGTTTTAATTGTTACACTGTTGGAGGCAATGTCTTCAAGTGCAGCCTGGAACATAAGATGTGGAATTTCTACAACTCAAACACCATGCTGCAACACCCACCGCCACTCACTTCTCACGACCCCCAACTTTTCTACTGTTCTTTCCTTTTTAAAAATGTTCTTTAAAACTTGTTTCTTTCAGACAACTTTCCAGATATCTGCATTTGTTGCTTGATGTCAAATTTTGTCAAAGAATTATCTGCAAATGGTAATTAAGGCAGTTATTTGAAAATCAGGATTCTAAATAGCAAGAGGAATTTGGGATTATTCTAATTTGTTTATGTGGGGAAATTATTAGCATGCTATAAGATATAGGAACAGTAATAAGCCATTCAGCCCATTGTGTCCGCTATTCAAGGAGATCATAGCTGATCTGATGATCCTCAACTACACTTTCTTGTCTTATCCCCTAACCCTAGACTCCCTTAATAATTAGAATTCAGCTTTGAATATACTTAACAACCCAGATTTGACAGCCATCCTCAGGCGACTGTCTGTGTGGAGTTTGCACATTCTCCCTGTATCTGCATGGGTTTCCTGCAGGTGCTCTGGTTTCCTCCCACAGTCCAAAGATGTGCAGGGTGGGTGGATTGGCCATGCTAAATTGCCCATAGTCCTCAGGGATGTGTAGATTAGGTGAGTTATAAGAGGATGGGTCTGGGTGGGATGCTCTGAGGATTGGTGTGGACTTGTTCGGCCAAAGGGCCTGTTTCCACACTGTAGGGATTCAATGATATCTATGAATTCCACAGATTCACCTGCCTTCAAGAGAAGAAGTTCCTTCCCATGTCTGTCTTAAATGGGTGACTCCTTACTCCGAGATTATGCCCTCTGAACCTAGTATTTTCCACAAGGGAAAACAACCTTTCTGTATCTACCCTGTCAATCCCACTAAGAATCTTATATGTTTCAATAAGGTCTCCTCTCATTCTCCTAAACTCCAATCAGTACACATTTTCTATAAAGAAAATCGATCGATTGATTGATTGAATGATTTATTGTCACGTGTACTGATGTACAGTGAAAAGCTTTGTTTACAAGCAGTACAGGCAGATCATAGTAAGCAAGGATGTACAGATCAAAAAGACTTAGACAGAGGCATACAGGTTATATTGCACAGAGCATGCACCAGGCAAGATCAACGTGGCAAGATCCGTATTATTTGGGGCTAGAGAGTCCACTCATTAGTCTAATACCAGTCGGAAAGAAGCTGTTCCCTCCATACACTAGATCAACCTAGTGAATCTTCTCTGGATTGCCTCCAATGCCAGCATATCTTCCTTTAGCTAAGGAAAAAAAAAACTGCTCACAGTATTCCAGGTATGGTTTGACTAGTACCTTGTTTAATTTTATAAAGGCCTCACTATTTTTATACTCCACTCCCTTTGAAGTAAGGGTAAACATTCCATTTGCTTTCACCATTAACCACTGAACTTGGATTCTAATTTTTTGTGATTTATGTACCAAGACTTCCAAAATCCCTTGTCCTGCAGCTTTCTGCAGTCTTTACACATTTAAATAATATTCAGCTCTTCTATTCTTCCTGCCAATGTGCATAACCTCACATTTTCCAGCACTATATTCCAATAACTAAGCTTTTAGCCACTTGCTTAACCTGTCTATATCCCTTTGTTGACTCTTTGTATCATTGTCACTACTTGCCTTCCTGCCTATGTTTGTGTCAGCTGCAAACTTGGTGATCATGCGTTCACTAGGGGTGAACCAAGTGACCAGTCATTGTCATTATCATAAACGAAAACAGAAGTTGCTGAAAAGCTCAGCAGGTCTGGCAGCATCTGTGAAGAAAAATCAGAGTTAGTGTTTTGGGTCTGGTGATCCTTCCTCAGAACTGATGGAGGCTAGGAAAATGTTGGTTTATATGCAGAAGATAGGATGGGGGAAGGGGGTAAGGAGTAAACGATAGGTGGGTATAGAGCCCAAAGAGAGAGAACAGTTGGACAAAGGAGTTGATTACAATCTGGCTAGGATGGTGATTAGCTGTTAATGGAGACTGTCAGTGGCTGACAATAGGTAGTGTGTAATGGCAGGTCTGATGTGTGGGGTGGGGGACGAGGACATGGGAGAGTTCAAACCCTAAAATTACTGAACTCAACATTGAGTCGGGTGGGCTGCATGGTTGCCAAGCGGAAAATGGGGTAACACAGTGTGGAGCTGGAGGAACACAGCAGGCCAGGCAGCATCGGAGGAGCAGGAAAGTTGATGTTTTGGGTTGGGACCCTTCTTCAGAAAATGGAGTGTTATCCTTCCAGCTTGTGCTGATCTTCACTGGAACACTGCAGCAAGCCTGAGACAGAGATATTGGCCAGGGAACAGGGTGGTGTGTTAAGGTGGCAGGCAACTGGAAGCTCAGGGTCATTTTTGCAGGCAGATGTTCTGCCTCATTTCCCCAAAGTAGAAGAGACCACATTGTGAGCAGCAAATGTTGTAGACTAGATTGAGTGAAGTGCAAGTGCTGCTTCCCTGGAAGGTATGTTTGGCCCCTTGGATGCTGGTGAGGTAGGAGGTAAGTGTGGTAACAAGGTGTAGAGCTTGATGAACACAGCAGGCCAAGCAGCATCAGAGGAGTAGGAAGGCTGACTTTTCGGGCCTAGACCCTCTAGCTTGGCCTGCTGTGTTCATCCAGCTCTACACCTTGTTATCTCAGATTCTCCAGCATCTGCAGTTCCTACTATCTAGGAGGTAAGTGTTGCAGCTTCAGTGGTTGCAGGAGAAGGTGCCGTGAGGCTACTGGGGAGGTTGGTGTCAGGAGAGAAGGAGTGTGGACCAAGATATCCCGAAGGGCACGGTCCCTGCGGAAGGCAGACAAGGGAGAAGACGGTAAGGACAAGGAGAACCTTATTGCTGTTGAGGGAGGGACAGTGGATAGTTCGGACCCCGTTGAGAGCCCTGTCGGCAACGGTGCTGAGGAATCCTCGGTTGAGGAAAAAGGTGGACTTTCGCTCTAATGCCAATCACCGTGGGCGGTTGTCAGGAGCAAAAATGGTCGCTGTATTTGTCACAAACAGGTTGTTGACATGCGCGTGCTGCGTGCGCAGCTCTCGGGGCTTGCTCGCTCTCTATGGTGCGGTCGCCATCGTTGAGAGAGCGGCGGGTAGGGAATATGGCGGTGGAGTCTAGAGTCACCCAGGAGGAGATCAAGAAAGAGCCAGAGAAGCCGGTGGATCGCGAAAAGGTGAAAACTGTTCATACTGACGGGGGTTGGCGGGGGCTAAGGTAGTAGCGGCGGCCCTGCAGGTTGAGTCAGGTCAGGGCCTGGGAAATGTCAACTCCGGGAAAGTGCACGTTGGACGATTCCGCTGCTGCCGCCTGAAAGTGTCCGGAGCTCGGATTCTGACTGTAAGGGTGCGGGCTCTCTCTTTCACAAATGTGAAGCATTTCTCACTGAGTGAACTGACTGAGGGGCCGCGGTCTAACCTGATTGAGGGTGAGGCCAAGGTTTCCCCTTCAGCCCAATTTTAACCAGTAACTGGAAATTTCTAAATCAGAAATTAGAAGTATTTTGTGTTTCAACCTTTGTTTTGTTCTGAATGTTTTTCTTTGTGATGTGTTGTGACGGTGCTAATAGGGTTCCAGTTAACCATAGAATTACGGCTAGGGATCAGTGTAATTGGAGCGGGGAGAAACAGGCGGTATCGGTCGCCTACGAGCGCCTACTGTTTAATTTCATTGACTAAAATTAAACTGGACATCGGGTACGTCGTAGAGAGGTGATATGACCCCCATTTTGCCAGCGCTCAGAACAAATTTCTGTTTTCATATATAAAAACAAAAAAGGGACACAGTGGTTTATGCAAATAATTAAGCCATGCCTGAATTTTGCATCCAATATTTTATGCCTGTTCACAGCATTCTTTTCTCTTCACATCTCAGTTCATTTGTGAAACGTATCCCATTCAGGAGAAAACGTAAATCTCTCAAATTGTTTCAAAATAGGTGTGAAATTAAATGGAGAATTTTAAATGCAGCAGGAAGCTTGTTTTTCGATAGCTTTTTAGCTTGTGATTTTTTTTTAATAAAAATCAGTTTCACTGCAGACTTTTGTGGGGTTTTTTGTTTCTTTGAACACCGGACCCGAAACGTTAACTCTGTTTTCTCCTCCACAGACGCTGCCAGACCTGCTGAGCTTTTCCAGCAACTTTGTTTTTGTTCCTGAGTTACAGCATCCGCAGTTCTTTTGTTTTTTTTTTATAAGTCACATCAGAAATAGGTTTCCACAATTCAGTGTTTTTTTTTCATTGTGGAATGTGAATGTTGCTGGATACCTAACCTAATGTTATGCCCATCCTGAACTGCCCTGGCAAAGGTGATGGTGAGCTACCATCTTGAACCATTTCTGCCGTAAGAGTGTAGGGACACCCACAATGCTGTTAGGAAGGGAATTCCAGAATTTTGATCCACAGCAGTAGATGAACTTAATGCTGTTGATTTTCCCATGTTTCTGCTACCCTTGTCCTTGTAGGCAGTAGAGCTTTGGAAGATGCTGTCAGGGGATCCTTGGTAAAATACTGTAGTGTACTTCGTAGGTGGTACACATTGCTGCCACTATGTCAGTGCTGAAAGAAGTGACTATTGAAAGTAGTGGTTAGGGTGCCAATCAGGTGGGTTGTTTGGCCTGGATAGTTTCTTGGCTGTTGTTGGAACTGCATACAGGCAATGGAGAGTATTCTGTGCCACTCCTGATTTGTGCTAGACTTGATATTGGGCAATGAGAATTTCCAACAGTTTTTTCCCCAGATTTTACAGCATTTTGCAGTATCTTGCTTTTACCTTAAATCTGTGTCCTTTGGTTCTCAATTCTTCCACCAACAGGAATACATTCTCTCAACTCTGAACTACACAATTTTTGACAAATGTCCTCTTTGGGGTTATCTCTAAGAAGAACAACCACAACTTCTCCAATCTATCCAACGAACTGAACTTTCCTATCCCTGAAACTATTCTCCAAAATCTTTTCTGCATACTCTGTAATGCCTTTACATCCTTCCTAAAAAGCGATGTGCTGACGTTGAGGCTGAGCCAATGTATTATACAGGCGTCTCAATTTTCTTCCTTTTGTGCTTCGTTCCTATTCTCCTGAGCATACTTTAGAAACTCTTTCACAACTAGCACAAAGTGCTGGAGGAACTCAGCAGGTCTGGTAGCATCTGTGGGGATAAACAAAGTTAAATTTTCAAGTCCAGGATGACACAAATGTTGCCAAACCTGAGTTTTTCCAGTATTTTCTGCATGTTACAGATTTCCACTATCCACAGTATTTTGCTTTTATTAGAAACTCTCTTCCCCTTTCTGCCCTTTATGCTATTACTATCCAGTCTCTACCGGATTAATTAAAGTTTTCTGTTGTAACTACACTATAGTTCAAGTATGTTCTGTAATTACGTTGCAGATTTGTTCCTGTACATCTTTCCCACTAGTTAGTTGCCTGTAGGGTACATGCAGAAGTGTAATTATATCCCTCTATTCCATAGCTGTATGACTCCTCTAGGATAACCTCTCTCACTAGTACTCTAATTTCTCTTTAATTAGTACTGCTCCCCACTTTTTTTTTCCAGAGTACCTTGCATCTAGGAATATTTAGTCACTCACTCTATCTTACTCATTCAAGGCATCCATTATCGCCACAACATCATTTGCATGTGGCTATTTGTGTCTACCCCTCACCAGCCGTATTTGGTGCACTCGATACATTCACATGCATCCATGTTAAAACTTATAGCATGCCCCTTACATTGACAGTATTTCATGTCATGTTGTATCCTATTTGAGTGCTTTGTCTTTCCAATTCATTGTGCACCTTGTTTTGCTTTGCTAATAATACCACCTTGCCACGCTTGTACCAATTAGTTTAAACCCACTGCAGTAGTATTAATAAACCACCTCAGCAGCTACTCACTAATCAAGTGCTGATGTCTGATATCTTTTTGCTTAATAGGGAGGCCAACTGAAATATTTTTGTTTAACTCTTATCTAAAAACCTTGGATTTAAATTTACTGAAAAATTCACTGTCCCTTAACTATTTAATTTTAACTGTATCTATCAGGTCTGATTAATTGAATACTGATTATAATGGAATGATGGTAGGCGCTGACCTAATCATATTATCAGTAGCCTATTAATCTAGAAATCCTGATAATGCTTTGCGTCATTGGGTTCAAGTCCTACCATGGCAGATGGTGCAATTTGAATTCAATAATAAACTTGAAATGAGAGTCTAATGATGATGTGAACCATTGCCAATTGTCAGGAAAAACCCATCTGATTAACTAATGTCCTTTAGGGAAGGAAATCTGCCATCCTTACATGGTCTGGCCTACATCTGACTCCAGACCCTTGCAATGTGGTTAACTCTTAACTGCCCTCTGGGCAATTAGGGATGAGGCAATATATACTGGCAACCACATCCCATAAATGAATTTTAAAAATCATAATAAATTATGAAATTATGTCTTTAGCTTTTGGTTTTGTACTTCTTAATTTATACTTGATTAATTTAGATTAAATCAAATTGTTACCATTACACTTGAACCACATGGTTCCTAATTCCAGGGGCAGCAAAGTTTCCATTTAGTGGTTATCACGTTTGCCTCGCATGCACAAGATCCCCAGTTTGATTCTGCGTGGAAACATTCTGATTACAAAGTAGGGAAATTGTGTCACTCAGTGTGCATGATAAAATATTCTTATTCCAGGAGTTTTTTCTTCCTCCACATTTTCATCATAATTTTCTTGAGGACTACATTTTGATTTTCTAAAACTCCTTTCGTTTTCACTAGCTGCTTCTTTTGGTGATGCAGTCATGTCATAACAATAACTTTTGCATTTGCGTTGACACAAGGGGTATTTGAACTCTTGGAAGCAAAAAGAATTTGACAGTATACACAATGACCGTCATTTCTCCATTAAACCTAAAATAGCAACGCATAAGGAAAGCATCAATTTCTAGAGACAGTTTTTAAATTGGCACAAGGCATCAGTTAGAAGTTAGGGAAAAACTTAGCTTTCTTAAAAGAAACTACAGATCTCTACACAAATCCATCAACACAAATATGATATCGAAGGACTGGTGTGATCACAGCTAAAGGGTTGCATGTTATCTTTAACATGGTCATTGCAGCCAAGTGATTTACAGAATGTGAGGTGCTTTGAGATGTGATAACCCAAGCGCAAGGCTTATCTGAAAGAGTGTTCAGTTATAAATTATCCAGTTGACACAATTTTCATTATGATATCATAAACGTTTGTTAAAATGTTTAAAACTACTCTCACCTGTTTGCAGCCCCTGTTCTTTCCTCCTCCTCACCCCCTAACCCCCACCCACATGCACATACATCCACCCCATTTCTTCCACTCTGCCTTACAGTGGGAGGTTTGACCACTTTTTGGTATGAATTCTCCCACCGCCCTAACGTATTTTGTATGTTGCCTTGTTCTGTTATGTCACTAAGTGATTATTTTTCCTTTTCGTTAAGTTCAGACTCTCTGGTCCCACAGTCTTGTTCAGTTCCTGATCATTTTAAACCTTTGCTTCGGCTGTTCAGTTCCTGTTTGTCTCAAATCTCTGCTCTGACTGCTCAAGTGCCACTCTTTTAAAATCTTCCATGAAGGTGCTTATCTGTGTTTATACATAAATTTGCAAAGTTGGCTTCATAAGTCCAGCAGTCCCTAACACTGACTTTAACCAGCTTAATCCTAGCTCGTGATGCAATGCATTTAAATCATGTAAAGTGGGTGCAGTAGAGTTTCAGAAATATAAGGTGTCTATTGACATTATTATTTTACTGTTACCTTTCAATTTGGAGAGCATACATTGTTTAGTTTACTTTAAATGCTGTGATTCAAAGAAATAAATTTTAATGGATGTTCTGGATGTTTATTAGAGAAAAATACAACTGAATCTCTGTGCAGCATTTCCCAAAGTTTGCTGCAAAAAAAAACCTGAAGTCTTATTTATTTGTGTTTCTGCTGTTAATTTCTTCGACCTAGACTTCACATTTCTGCCGCTGTTTTAGTGATGTCAAAATCATTAGAGAAAAGTTACATTTGAGATTTAATTTTAATTTTCCAAATAGATTAGATTCCACAACATTTTAAAATAAAATTTGTGCAATTTATGGTGGTTTAAGAAACAAATTATATTGATTTGTTAACTTTTTTTTTATTTAATGTTTAAAAATTAGACATGCCCTCTTCTGTTGAGAGTGTTCACAACTAACAATGGAAGGCATCACAGAGTCGATGATTTTGCTAGAGGAAATGTCCCATCTAGTGAGCTACAGATCTATACTTGGTAAGTATTGCAATTCTGCTGTAAAACATGTTTCCAATCATTAAATGATACAATTTTTGTACTTTATGACCATCTTGCTTTTGGAAATGGGAGTTATAATTACTGGTCTATTCAGTCAATACAACATGTTTTGCAAGGTTATTTTTATTAGATTCCATTTCAAAGATTTGTCTGATTCAATAGCCAGCTCTTTGCTTCGTTGACTAATCGTTTTTTTAGCCATACCTCCAATAATTGTCAATCAAATTGTAAAAATCCTTTTCTGATTTCAATTTTCTTTTTGCCTACAATCATAAAATTTGCATTATCTCTCCAATTATGCCTCTGATTCAACCTTATAACAGTTCCCTACCCACTTTATTGAATATCCTGAATAATATTTCTCTTACATAGAGATCAAAACAATCATTGCAAACAATTTTCAATCTTCTATTTTCTCCACCAATTCTCAGTAATTGTTTGTTCAGATAGCTTAAATTTATTGCCTTCTCTTTGGCTTTGAAGTAGACATACAATACAAAATTCCCTAATCAAGCAGTATCATATTGCTAATGTTTGTGTGCTTTGTATTCCTGATGGGTGTTATCCTTAATTAGGAAAGTTGCTCGAATATTTTAAATTTTTTTTAGAAATAACAACTCATTTCTTTGTTACCCCACCATCTGTGATAAGCTACAATCCAAGTCCATGCACATGAGCATTTAACAAAATTGTACTTCCATTGTTGTTTGAATTCAGGATGGATGCTACACTGAAAGAACTAACAAGCTTAGTAAAAGAAGTCTATCCAGAGGCCCGCAAAAAAGGAACACATTTCAGCTTTGCAATTGTGTATCCAGATCCGAAACGACCTGGCTACAGGTTTGTGTAATGATACAGTGGTTTTATATTTAATGTTTTTATGAACTTGAGATTGAAGGAGTTGTGTATCTGGATTAGTTTTACATAATTCGTCGAGAAAAGGTCATTAAAGTTAATAGAACTTTTTATTGAAATTCACATAGTTGGAAGTAAACATTTATACACGACAATCAGGATGCAGCTTCTGCACTGAAAATTAATTGGTGGTCTGTCTGTGAAAGAGAAAGAGATTTCCAACTCTGTTTCTGGAAAACCTCAATATGGTCCAGTCTGAACCTTGATTGTCTTCATGAAGAGCATCCCGAGGAACTTTCTGTGAAGATACTGTTTCCAGAGAAAGCTACATTAGAAAAGATCCCTGTGACATTGGTTTTTGTTTGCTGATCTCTATCTTTATAGGCCATAACTTTAGACAGAGACAACTTCTGAACATTGCACATTTTATCTCTTGTCTACCTTTAAAGACTAAGGCTTTTCGGCAAAATGTATCTTTCCCAAAATGATTCTCCACAGGGAGAAATATATTCTTTTCCTCGCAAGTTTATTGTTGTAATTGTGTTTGTTTGTGCGCATTTAGTTTATTTTGTTGCCAGTCCTTTTCAGGCAGCATAAATATAGTACTCCCTCAGAGGCATTTTCTGCACTGGGAGCTGGTGAATGAAAAAGGGGTAACTTTTATCTAAAGCCTAGTTTTTCCTTTTAATTTATGAGTTATCTAAATATTGCACTTTGAATTAAGAGAAGTTTTTTTTATTGCAGCCTTAAATCTCTCTCTCACTGCGAGAGAAGCTGTGTCTAATTAATCAGTGGCTGGATTAATCCAATTCTTTGGAGTTTGTCAGTTGTTTTCAAGAAGCGTCAGTAGAGGCTTTCCTCAGTGCTGCTTTGGTTGTGCAGAGTGGAAAGTATGAATTTATTGAGGTAGAGGAAGTTTGGTGAGGGGCAGGAGGTATTCCTTTCTTCTCTAATTTAACTTTTACAGCCAGCTGTAGTTGGCTTTTCCTTTGGTACAGGGAAAGAAGCTGATTGGTGAGAACTATTATGTTCTCTATTATTTCAAGTGTAATAATCTTTAAAATTACAAGATGGCAGGTCAGAGTGGCCAAGTGGAGTGTACATTCTGAATATCTATGAAGTCATTGATACACTATTTGTCCCAGATAAACTCTGCAGGAAGTATCACAGGCTGTAAAACCCTGAGCTCAGGATTTCAGAACTTGAACAACAGCTGGTACTCACTGCAGTGTAATCACAGGTTAGGAGCATACAGAGAGCAAATGGATGACTGCCAGGCAGTGTAAAGAAGAAAATAGACAGGCATTACAAGAGTCTATCTTGCTTGCTAATTGGTATACCATTTTAGATAGAGTAAACTTTGTTTGAACTGGCATTCTTGATAAACGGGCAAAAATTATATACCTGAAATACCAGAAATTTACTGTATTATCTCAATCTCCATGATGTCCAAATAGTCTTTTGAGGGTAAGAGTCTGTCTCTGCTGGTAAGTTTTATTTAAGGCAAAGTTGCATTATTATTTAAGTGATTTATGCTGTAAATAAAGTATAACAGTGATGCGCATACCCCCTGCTTTATGTTTCTATTACTTAGTATGTGTTTTTACATTGATTATGCAGACCTTTTGATCAACCAGCACAATCCTGGTCCCATAGGTGCTCGTTATAAAAAGTTTGCTGTACTAGTAAGGGTGAATGGTTCTTCAGGGGTGTGCAACCAGAGCAAAGTTGGTGGTACTACGGGCAGCTGTACAATGGAGGAAGAAGTTTAGAAAAGCAATAGCTATAGGAATTCCATTGTCAGAGGATCATAAGACATTTGTGTGGACATTAATGAGGCTCCAGAACGGTGTGTTGCTTCTCTAGTGCCAGGGTAAAGATAGTTATAGAGTTGCTGCAAGACAGGGTGATCTGCTAGAGGTCATGGTCCACGTTGGTAACAGTGATTTAGACAGGAGTGAGGCTAAAGTCCTGAAAGCTGATAGGGAATGAAAGGCAAAAATTTGTTAAGATGTAATCTCAGGATTACAGATTGTCCCATGTGTTCGTGAATGTAGAAATTTGAATACATGGCTAGGCAGCAGATTTCTGGGGCACTGCAACTGTTTCTGGTGAAGGTCAGACATATACAAGCCAGATATTCAGGTGCAGACTAGGACTGGGATAACTATCCTTTGCAAGGGAATTTGCTAGTGCTAATTCTAAAGAAGGGTTACTGGACCCAAAACATTAACTCTGTTTTCTTTCCACTGCTGCCAAACCTGCAGAGTTTCTCCCGCAATATTGTGTTTGCTTGTTTGTTTGTTTAAACTAGATTGGCTCGGGGGTTGGAAACCTGAGGACAAATTCAAAGCCAGAAACATAGGGGCAGAAATTTAGAGTGACTCTGAAAGACAGACGAAGCAGAGGTTGAAAAGTATACAACACAAGAATTTGGCAGTGTTAAAGGTAATGTAAAGATAAGGAGCATAGCAAATAATGCCGAGGAGCTGTAGACACAGGCATCTGGCAGCATCATATCGTTACTATTATGGCATCTTGGCTTAAGAACGGTCAATGATGGCAGCTCAACATCCCTAGATAGAGCATTTTTAGCAGGTTAGAGAGGAGGATAAAAAGGTGTGCACAGCATTCTTATTTAAACCTTCAATTATAGTTGAGAGAATGGATGATATTCTAAATGAAGTGTCAAATGTGGCCACTTATGCGTTAAGTTCAGAAACAAGAAAAGGGGCAGCCACATTGCTAGGCGTGTACTATAGATCCCCACACAGAGAGAGAGGAGCAAATATGTAGGCAGATTTCAGAGTAGAAAAACAACAAATGGTTGGGGACTTCAACTATCCCAATATCATTTGCGATACAAACTACCTGATAGACAAGGAGGGCACAAAATTCTTAAAACACAATCAAGAGAACTTTTTTAGCCAGCACGTAACAAGCTTATCAAGGAGGGCACATTGTAGACTTTGTCATAGGAAATTAAGTTGGGCAGGTGAATGAAAGAGCAGTGGTGACCATTTTGGACATCGTGATCATAGTATAATTAGATTTAGCATCATTATGGTTGGAGGAATAAACATAACATGAGTAACCATTCTAAATTGCAGTAAGACAGAGTTACAAACCTGAGGTGATCTGGATAAAGTCAGTGGGAGGCATTCAAAAGTGCACTTCTGGGCACGTTGTAGGCACGTGTCTACAAAAAAAAAGTGTGGTATTACCAAATCTAGGGCATCGTTTTGTTAAGGGAAGTTTATATCTTAGCGGCTTGGGTTGTCTTCCTTAGAGCAAAGACGACTGAGGGGTGACTTTATTGAAGTGTACAGAATAATGATGGCCTTAAATGGAGTGGACAGGGAAGACCGGTTTCCTGTAGTTGAGAGATCAGTTATCAATGGGCACAGATTCTAGGTTTTTGATGGGCTGGCTAGAGGGGACATAAGAAAAAACCTTTTCAACCAGAGGGTGTTAGATGTTCAGAATTCACTGCCTGGTTTGGAGGTTGAAATGGAAGCCCTCAACTTATTCAGTAGGAACGTAGATTTACACGTGAAGCATTGTAACCAGCAAGACTACAGATCAAGTGCTAAAAAATGGAATGAGGATTTATTCAGCCAAGGCAGAGGTGGTCAGGTTGAATCGCCTCTTTCTGTGCTGTACTTATCTGTAGTTCTGAGAGTTATTTGGAGGAGTAGAAGTTTGTATTTTTGTATTATAAATTGTTAACCAGATTTGCATCATTATTGATTTATTAGAAAGGTTATACATTTTTGTGTTTATTATAGAGAGCTGGTTGTTAGATCTTACGTCTTGGAGTTTAGAAGAGTGAGGGGGCTTCTCGTTGAGACTTACAGAACACTGAGGGGCCTGGATAGAGTGGATGTGGAGTGCGTTTTCTCAAGAAGGAGAGAATAGCACCCGAGGGCGCAGCTTCAGAATGAAGGGACGACTCTTTTGAACTGAGATTAAGAGGAATTTCTTCAGCCAGAGGGTGGTGAATCTGTGAAACTGATTGCTGTAGAAGCCAATGAAGGCCAAGTCCTTGAATGTCTTTAAGACAGATAGTTTCTTGGTTAGTAAGGCATCCAAGGAGATGGGTTGAGAAACAGATACAATGGATCGAATGGCCTGACTCTTCTACAATATCTTATGGTCTGATATAGAGAAACCATATAATTGACCATATCAGGAACAGATCGAGAAAGACAGCACTGTCCTCCTATCTCGGTCATAATAAGAGTGATCATATTGGATGGTGAAGCAGGATTAAGGGCCAAATGAGCTGCAAATCCTATACACTACAGGGTCATGGTGCCCACACACAAAATTGGAATTAGTGCTGCTATTAATTTGCATATTTTAAATTGTGGATGTTATCATTTGATTTTTGAATCTTCCGTCTGTAATCTAACAATACTCAATACCTCTTTCTGAACAGAAATATTTATACAAGGCCAAATTTAATATCAAAAACGCATGGCATCTTCAATTCAAATTGAGTTAGGGAGTGATGGAAAAATTGGACCAAGATAGAAGGATCCAGGCAGGGATCAAAAGGGAAAAATGACTAGGGTATAAAAGAGAGGGGAAATTATGTCAATGGGAGCAGCATTTATGTGGGACAATGGGTGTGCTGTGCAGCGTTGGACATTTAATACCTATTGCGGGGTTGGGGGGGTGTTAAGACGACAAAAAGAAGCATTTTCTTATGGAGGAAAACAGGAGGCACAGTTGTATTGCAAATATTAGCTTCTTGGTTAGTGGACCGGAATGTTGTAACATTGCAACAATGACTATTTTGCAGTGTTGATGGGGTAAATGTGGAAAGTGACCTTTTAACAGTAGTGTAGGTGTTCAATTGTTGTAATATTTTGTACACTGCCATTCCATTTACTGGCATTGATGTACGTCTGTGAACTTTTTGGAGATTTTCTATAGCTCTTGGGGTAGAAATGCAGTACTTGAAAGGGGGTGGGGTAGATTCCTAAAAATTCTGCACAGATATTTATGGGTGAACTGTGTTGTAGAGATGAGCATATGATGTGTAAGATATGTATGCTGTTGGGTGTCAGCTTTAAAGCGGCAGTGTGGAGGTGAGCAGTATGGTTAAGATGGATAGGAGGCAACAGGCAGGTGAATAGAGTGAATAAATCCACTCATCAGCTATTTTTTCATTGCTTAAGGGGAAAGGATTTCTGTCAAAAGATGTATGTTGGGGTAAACTATGTATTAAATAAGTTGCTTCCAAATAATATTTTCATAAGGCAAGTTACTTACTAGTTACTCATGTTTAGTGACAAGTTTGAGAATGCAATTGATGCGGAGTTATTTGGTAGCCGAAGCCTGAACTCTGTGGGTGCTTAAACTAGCCTGTTTCTTTTATTCACAGATGGGATGTGAGTATCGCTGGCTGGGCCAGCATTTATTGTTTATCCTTAATTACCCTTGAGAAGGTAGTGGTGAGCTGCCTTCTTTAACTGCTACGCTCCATTCATCGAATAAATGACATTGAAGGAACAGCAATATCTTTCCAAGTTAGGAGAGTGAGTGGCTTGGAGGGGTACTTGCAAATGCTGATATTCCCGTGTATCTGCTGTCCTTGTCTTTCTGGATGGAAGTGGTCATGGATTTGGAAGATGCTGTCCAAAGAGTCTTGGTGAATTTCTACAGTGCATCATGTAGATGGTACAAACTTCTGGTGTGGGGTATTGGTGGTCTAGGGAGTGGGGAGTATTCCATCACACTCCTGATTTGTGCCTTGTAGTTGGTGGACAGGTTTTGGGGAGTCAGGAGGTGAGTTTCTCATGTGAGGATTCCTAGCCCGTGACCTGCTCTTGTAAGGCTGTATTTATAAGGCTGGTCCAATCCAGTTTCTGATGAATGGTAACCCCCAGCATGTTGATAGTGTAGGATTTAGTGATGGTTATGCCACTGAACATGAAGAGGCAATGGCCAGACTCTCGTTGAGGAGAGTCATTGCCTGGCATTGGGAGGTTTGAATGTTACTTACCTGTTATCAGCCAAGCCTTGGACATGGACTACTTCACTATCTAAGGAGTTGCTGTATCTAAGTCCGTTGTTCTTGACTTTTCATATTATCAATATAAATCAAAACAACATAAAAGTAAGTGGATTGTACAGAGCATGTAGACTTGCCTGATTTGTTGTTTATTCATTCACGGGATGAAGGCGTCGCTGGCCAGGCAGCATTTATTGCCCATCTTTAATTGCCCAGAGAGCAGCTAAGGAATCAACCACATTGCTGTGGGTCCAGAATCACATCCTTACCAGATCAGGTAAGGATGGCAGTTTCCTTCCCTGAAGGACATTAGGGAACCAGATGGGTTTTTCCTGAAAATTGATTCATGGTTATCATTAGGCTCTTAATTCGAGATTTTTTTTTATTGAATTCAAATTCCACTATCTGCTGCGGCAGGATTCAAACCCAGGTTCCCTGAACATTATCTGGGTGTCTAGATTAACAGACCAGAGATAATACCGCCAGGCCATTACCTTCCCTGACATCGATACGCTATCTAAAAGGGCAAATGAGGTGCAGAATAATGCAAAAATTATAAAGTCTATGTAAAATTTGATCAGTGAATGTTTTGTATTATTAATTAGTCCCATTGTGGTTTTAAGAGGATATTTAGAATTGCTTAAAGAGAAAAGGTTAAAGTATAGAGTGTTTAATTTCATCTTAAACAAAAAGAATTTGCCCATTGAATAGTCCCAATAGATTTTTGTTTGTTTTTTAAACTGGTGAAAATTGCATCTGGATGACTACTGTTTTGCTTTTGTATAACAGAGTGAAGGAAATTGGTACGACTGTTTCAGGGAGGAAAGGACCAGATGACTCGATGACGTTACAATCGCAGAAATTTCAAATTGGGGACTACCTGGACATTGCAATAACGCCACCTAGTAGAGCACCGCCCCCACCTGGCCGCATGAGACCATATTAATGTTCCTTCCTTACCCTCTTTGGGCAGCTGTGGCTGTAATTTGGTGGCCCTGTACTATGTAACCAAGAATGTTCGCATGTTTCATTGTATTTTGTTCCTAAACAAGATAATTTTTGAGAAATAATTTTGACTGACTGCAGATGTGGGCAAGTATCTGTGCATTCTAGCTGCAAAGTTTTTGATTTTGTTCAGATTGTTTGCAATCTTTTAATAAAAGTGTGCCTTCATTTCATTGTTTTTGTCTCTAGAATGTGCGCATAGAATTTGTCTGAACTTTAACGCAATCTGGGTAATGTTAAAAATTAGATGTCACAATTTTCATAGTTTATGATCCTCTTCTCAACACCCTGAGCCAAGTTGTACTTCAGTTCACAACAATGTAACTCTACAGGTGTAAATCAGCTAGTATGTTCACGGTTTTAAAAGATTTACAATAAACTGCTGTTTACTCAGAATTATTCCTCTATTTCTTAAATATTACTGGTGGTCCTTTGATTCCGGTGGTCACTGTTGCCTTGTTGACTTCACCATGGTAAATCTCCTCTGTGCTGTCTCCAGTGCAATCACATCCCAGCTATAATGTGAATTCCAAATTGCAAACAGTATTTTATACGGTCTCAGCATAACCACTTTGCTCTTAAGCTGTCTGCTCAGCCAGTAAGGGCAAGTATCCTATATGCCTTTTCAACCACTTTATCTACCATTCCGCTACCTTAAGGGACCAGTGGATATGAACACCAAGCCCCTCTGATCCTCACTGCTTCCTGGGTCCTACTGTTTATCAAGTATTCCCTTGCCTTGTTCTGTCCAAGTGCGTAACCTGACACTTATCTGGAATGAATTCCATTTTGCACTGATTAGCCTAACTGACCAGCCCATCTATAATCTAAGGTTACATTCCTCCCTATTTACTACTCCTCCAGTTCTCGTGTCATCCCGTGAACTTTCTGATTAACTCTCCTACATTTGATTAAAACAGCAACCTCGGCCAGTGCAAGAATTGAGCCAATGCTTCTGGCGTCACTGCATTGCAAACAAGCTATTTGGCTAACTGAGCTAAACAACACCCATTCAAGTCAAAATCATTTATATATACTACAAGCAGTGAGGGTCATGTGGCACCCTGCTGGATGCCGACTTCCACTTACAAAGACAGCCCTTGACCATCACCCTCGGTCTCCTGCCACTCAGCCAATTCTGGATCCAATTGACAAATTTCACGGGCTCTTAACATCAGATATATTACCCTAATGTACACACCTGGTTGTCTCCTTGAAAAATTCAATCAAGTTGGTCAGACATGACCTCTCCTTAACAAAACAATGCTGGTTGTTCTTAACTAATCTCTACCTCACAAATGCAAGTTGATTCTGTCCTTCAGAGTTGCTTCCAGTAGTCTCCTAACCATTGAGGCTAGATGACTGACCTGTAGTTTCCTGGTTTATGCCTTCCTTCCTACCATGAATGATGGTACCACACTGGCAGTTCTGTGGCACTTCTACGATTAGAAAGGAATTGAAAATTACTGCCAGCAGCTCTGTTATTTCCTCCTTTGCTTCACTCAACAGCCTGCAGTGCATTACATCCAGCCTTGTAGATTTATTTTTTAAGCCTGCCAGACCACCCAGAACATCTGTGTATGCTACTTTCTTTCATAATTATCATAGTCTTACTTCCCGAATTCTATACGGATATAGTCCTTCTCACTAGTGAACAAAAGATTAACTTGGGGCCTACTTTTTCCCTAGTTATCCTTTTACCCCTAATGTATTTGTAAAGTAACGGGATAATTGCAGGTAAAAAAGGAAAATCCTTACATGATCCCTTTTTGCTGTTCTGATTTCCTTTTTATTAAGTTTCTCCTTGGACAATCTATACTTCTGTAAAACCTCTGCTGTTTTGGCACTTGGTATCTACCATAAGCCTCCCTGATTTCTTTATCCAATCCCGTATATTCCTCTATCTAGGGTTCACTGGATTTGTTGATCCTACCATTAGTCTTTATTTGAACAGATTAGCCCCGACAAACAGTGCCAATGTCCCAGAAATTTATAACCCTCCTGCATCATCTTTCAAACTATGCATTCATCTGGACTAACTTCCTATTTTCATACTCCATAGAAAGTGGCACTGGGAGTAGGTCAGAGATTATAAGTTTTTGGGTCCTGTTTTTCAATCGACTGCCTAGCTCCTTAAATTCTACTTGTAGGATCCCGTCTCTTTTTCAGCCTTTGTTGTAGTTATCAGTATGTAGTAAGATCTTTGTCTGATTGCCCTCCTCCTTCAGATTGCCCTTTAGCCGTTCAGTGATATCCATGACCTTGGCACCGGGCAGGCAATATAAAATCCTGGAGTCTCTTTTGTGGCTGCAGATATACCTGACTAGCCCTTTTACAGTTTAATCTGCTACCACTGTAGCCTTGCTGTTCTTTTTCCTCCCATCTTGGGCAGCAGACACACCCATGATGCCATGAATTTGGCTCCCACTGCCTTCCCCTGTAGTCGCCTTCCCCTGTAGTCACCTCCCCCAACACTATTCAAAATGGTATATCTGTCAGAAAGGGGTGTTGGGGAAATCCTGGGCTACTTAATTTCCTCTACTCAAGCCCTTTCTGCGTATTCAGCCTTCACCTACAGTGTGACCACCTCACTGAATGTGCTATCCACAATGTACTCAGTATTGCAGATGCTCCATAATGAATTCATACTCCAAAATGCAGTTAGCCAATATTTGCAGCTGGACACACTTATGTTCTAAAGAAAGGTCACTGGACTTGAAATGTTAACTCTGCTTTCTTTCCACAGATGCTGCCAGATCTGCTGCATTTGTACAGCAATTCCTGTTTTTGTTTCACACTTCCTGCATGTGGTCACCAGGGTCAATTGAAGTTTCCATGATTTTCCACACCGTACAGTAGGAACACATCACAGCTGCAAACTCTGCTGCCATGACTTCCCTTAAGCCGATCAGTTACTCCCTTTTGAAAAGAAAAAATGCTTTTGAGTCATATAGCATAGAAATAGTCCCTGTGGTCCAACCAGTTCATGCCGACCACAATTCCAAACTGAACTAGTCCACCTGCCTGCACTTAGCCCATATCTATCCAATCATTTCCTATTCATGAACGTATCCAAATGTCTTTTAAATGTTGTAACTGTACTTGCGTCCACCACTTCCTTTGGAAGTTCATTCCACACACAAATCACTGTGTAAAAGAAAAAAATGCCCCTCAAGAAGAGTCCCAACCCGAAACATCAGCTTTCCTGTTCCTCTGATGCTGCCTGGCCTGCTGTGTTCCTCCAGCTCCACACTTTGTTACAACGTCTGCAATTCTTGCTATCTCGTCAAAATGCCCCTCATGTCTTTTTTAAAATATTTTTCCTCTCACCTTAACGTATGCCCTCCAGTCTTGAAATCCCCCACCCTAAGGAAAAAGCACCTGCCATTCAACTTATCTATACCCTTCATCATATTATAAACCTCTATAAGGTTACCCCACAACTTCCAACACTCCAGTGAAAAAAGTCCCAGCCTATCCAGCCTCTTCTTGTAATTCAAAACCTCCATTCTTAGCAACATCCTGGTAAATCTCTTCTGAATCCTCTCCAGCTTAATAATATCCTCCCTATAACAGGGTGACCAGAACTGGACACGCTACTCCAGAAGCTGCCTAACCAACATCCTGTACAACCTCAATATGACATCCCAACTCCTACACTCAAATGTCTGAGTAATGAAGGCAACCTTAATCTTCTTAACCACCCTGTCTACATGTGGCACAAACTTCAAAGAATTATGTACCTGAATGCCTAGGTCTGTCTGTTCTACACCACTACTCAAGGCCCTACATTTAACTGTATAAGCCCTGACCTGGTTTGTTTTACCAAAATGCAATACCTCACATTTATTCAAATTAAACTCTATCTACTACTCCTCAGCCCATTGATCCAATTGATCAAGATTTCTTTGTCATCTTAGAACACCTTCACAGTCCACTATACCACCAATTTTGGTGCCATTGGCAAACTTACTAACCAAGCCTTTTATATTCTCATCTCAATCATTTATATAAATGACAAATAAAAAAGTGGACCCAGTACCAATCCCTATGGATCACCACTGGCAACAGGCCTCATGTAAGAATACTATAAATTTACCTTCCTTATGCTAAATGTGTTTCCCTTTCCCTACTTTGCTTTAATTGCTTTATATTGCCCTGACTTTCACATTTCTGTTGTTTCTTCATAATTTTTTTTCCAAAAAATACACTTTTTAAAATCACTAACCAATTATTATTCTTCCTATGCATCTGTTGGTTTACTGCTGAAAAGCCTCACCAAGCATCTTGTGATTTATCAAGGCGGCAAGAAAGTTTGTGGGACAGCACTCAGTTTGATGTGGCTGACATCTTCACGAGATCTTAAGTAGCTGTGTCATGAAACATCACAAAAGCAAACAGGCTCATAGTACAGAAATGGCCGGTTGATTTTACTAAAAAAAAAGGTCAAAACTAAATTCAGCTCTGCTGTCTCACCTTAGTTCTATCTGTTTCAAATATTCGTCCTTTTTTCCCCTTAAAAGATGCAATAGACTCTGCTTCAACCAGTTTCTGTAACAGAGCATTCAATGCTTCTAAAATCTATCACATCAAAAATCTAATGCCCTGTTCCCTGTGAAGCCTCAGAACCGATTTTCTCTGCTTAGAAACATGCAGGCTTATTAAATAGGAACAGAACATTTGACCTCTCAAGTCTCCTTTGCCCTTCAGTAGATTCATGGCTGCTTTATTTCTGTTTCGAATTCCACATGCCCTTCTGCTGTGACAACTTATGATTCCCTTGCCTAACAAGAATTTATGTTGCTCCTTAAGTATTCAATGATTGCCTTCTGAACCAAAGTGTTCAAAGCTGTTTTAACTCAAAAAAAGGTTCCTCCTCTGTCCTGAAATGGCAACTCCAAATTTTAAAATGCTAACCCTAATTCTGGACTATCTGCAAGAGGAAACATCCATTCCACATTAATTTTGTCAAGACCAATCAGGAAACTATACAAAATGAAAGCAAAATACCGTGGATGCCAAAAATCTGAAACAAACACAATGGTGAAGAAAGTCAGCAGGTCTGACATTTGTAGAGACAGAAACAGGGTTAACGCTTTGACTCCAATACGACTTCTTCAGAAATGGTTCATACTAGACTCATAAATTAACTATTTCTCTCTCCACAGATGCTCCCAGACCTCTTAGGTTCTTCTAGCATTCTCTGTATTTATTTCAGGATCTTACACACTTCAATCAAGTAACGCCTCATTCTAAACTCCAGTGGAACCAAGTCTAGCCTGTCCTTGTAAGACACAACCTGCTTATTCAAGATATTTATCTGGAGTAAATTTCCTCTGAACTGCCTCTTACACATTTACATCATTCCTTAAATAAGGAGACTAAACTTTACCCAG